AGACCCAAGAACAAGAAAGGAGAGGCTCACTGAGCCATTTATCCCTCCGCCCTTCAATTAACCCCACATGTGTTTATAGGCCAGGTTGGCACAATAAACCTTAACTATCTCAGACAGTTCTACCCTGTCCTATAGGTTTGCTATGAGTTACAATTAACTTTATGGCAGTACATTTCTTCTTCTTTATAATGTGGAAATTATCGAACATTATACAGAATATTACATGCAAGTAAAATTTTGTTTAAGATAATTCAAAACTAGCCGAAGCAGTACATCAGCAGGGAGCTGGCAGAAATTCATACTGGATTCAGATGAGGACATGATACAAGGGATACAATTTCTGATGTCAGGTGGATCTTGGCTAAAAGAGACTATCAGAAAGGCGTTTGTTTGTGTTTTATTGATTATGCAAAAGCATTTGACTGTGTGGATCTTAACAAACTATGGATAACATTTAGAAGAATGGGAATTCCAGAATACTTCATTGTGTTCATGCATAGCCCGTACATGGACCAAGAGGCAATCATTCAAACAGAACAAGAAAATACTGCATGGTTTAAAATCGGGAAAGGTGTGCATCAGGGTTGTATCCTTTCACCATATTTCTTCAATCTGTATGCTGAGCAAATCCTCAGAGAAGCTGGATTATATGAAGACAATCAGGACATCAGGATTGGAGGAAGGTTTATTAACAACCTTTGATATGCAGGTGACACACCTTGCCTGATGGAAGCAAGGAGGATATGACACACTTCCTGACGAAGATCAAGGACTAAAGCTTTCTGTATGGATTGCAATTCAATGTCAATGTAGAGAAAACTGAAACCTTCACCACTGGAGTAATAGACACCATGATAAATGGAAAAAAGATTGAAGTTGTCAGGGAATTAATTTTGTTTGGATTCACATTCAATCCTCATGGAAACAGGAGTCAAGAAAGTAAAAGACATTGCATTGGACAGAGTGCTGTACATGAATTTTTTAAGGCGTTGAGAAACAAGGATGTCACTTTCAGGACTAAAGTGTCCCGGATCCACCCAACAGCACCCACTCACTGTTGTCCAGTTGTTTCTGCTCATTCAGTAACTCCCATCAAGTCAATTCCGACGACTCATAGTGACTCTATGTGAGCCAGTAGAACTCTACCTCGTGGTTTTCGAGACTGTAACTTATCTCGCTTGTGGAGTGACTGGTGTTTTAAAACTGCTGATTTTGTGGTCAGCAGCCTAATGCATAACCTACTACAAATAGCAATCCTAGGCAAGAGTTTTGAGGCAGCAAATCTTTACAGGAGCAAAGAGATGGAGCTTTCTTTTGTGGAGAGACTGGTGGGTTTTAACTGTGGACCTTTGCAGTTAGCAGTCTAATGCTTATGCAACAGTGACACAAGTCATCGTGGTTTTGGTCACCTCATACACATGTATAACTTGGACAATGAGTAGGAAGAGTAGAGAAGAATTGATACATTTGAAATATGGTGATGCCAGAGAATATCGAAAGTACTGTGGACTGCCACAAAAACAAACGAATCTGTTTGGAAGACAGTGCAGCCAGAACGTTCCTTGGAAGTGAGAATGGTGAGACTTGGTTTCATGCACTTTGGACGTGTTATCAGCAAAGACCATTTCCCTGGGAGATGATATCATGGTGAGTAGAGGGTCAGTGAAAAGAGGAAGCTGTCAAGGAGATGGATTGACATAGCGGTTGTAATAATGGGCTCAAACAGAATAATTTTGAGGATGGCACAGTATTTCATTCTATTTGGGGCACCTAACAACAAAAACACAATATGCAGTATTTTGTGACTTGCAGAGTCAAAACCTTTGGGTTTCTCACTGGGACCTAACATCACCTTGACATTTCAGTCTTCTAATAAATAAACGTCTTTTGGGTTGCCACATGTCTTCCCCAAAGATAAGCTATGGTTCAGTTATCGTAGGTCTCTGGTGTTACAAATGGTTTGCTGCAACTATTTACTATTAGCAGTGAAACTCATCCGTTGGGAAGGGCTAAGAAAGGCTTGTGCAACTGCTTCTGTAAAGAAAACAGTCAAGAAAGCTCATTGGAGGAGTAGTGTTCTAGAATTCATGGTGACATCACCCGTTGGGAAAGGCTCCACAGCAACGACACCGGGTTTTTGGTTGAAACGACAATTTTTGCTTTTCCCCGATTTGTTTTGAGTTTATTGCTTTTAACATTTGAATATGAAAATGAACTTTACACAGCTCATGTTACTGGAAAACAATTGTAGCAGAACTGGCATTTCACTGCCACCGAGTCGATTTCGACTCCTAGCGACCCTAGCAGACAGGGTAGAACTGCCCCCGCGGGTTTCCGAAGGCGCTAACTCTTCTTTCTCCCGCAGAACTGGTAATGTAACTGGTGCAAATCCCCAATTAAGTGATTGCATTGGAGGCGGCTGCCTCTGTCCAGTGTCCGAGGCTTGGTGCTCCCACGAAGTTTCCTAGGTCTCGCCAGTTAGGGCGCGGATTCCCGCTGCCCCAGCCCTCCTCCGGTCTCTGGGAGGTCCCGGCGGCTCCCCGGTCGCCCAGCCCCGGGCGTGCGGCTCCGACGGCGTGGAACTACCATTCCCAGAAGGCCACGCG